AAGATGCTCCTTCCTCTCTTCGTTAGGTGGATCCCATCTCTTCCTAACAATCCTTCCGCCCGGAACAGAGTCCCATGGTCGAAGAAACCAAAGCCCTCTCTGCGACACCACCTGCGCAACCACGCATTTACGTCCTCAATTCGACGATCCCTGCCCAGTCCTTTCCCTTCAACAGGGAGGATGGACGAGAACACCACTTGCGCTCCAAAGTAAGTCCAGGTTCAAACCAGAGATGTTTGCTGATGGCTTTGAACAGTCGCCCTTGCATCACAGTCGAAATCTTGGCGAGGAAGAAACCCCACAATTGTTACGGTTATCAAAGAAATTACTGGAGACACTAGTTATGCCCTTTAATTTCAGACTAATATATTCACAGAGGTTTTAATTGCTAGCAGATGCATTTTCCCCTCTCCTATTATGTGCCTCTCGGCAGCTGGGTCGAAGCAGAATACAGATGCGCACAGACCATGGAGTGTGGTGGCGGGCAAAAGGGTTAGTTGCCGTTCAAAAGGAAAGGGCGGGGAGCGGGAACACATGTTCATCTGCTAGGAGGCCAAATTGTGCCAGAAATATTAACGTGGCCGGCAGCAGCCCCAAACTCTGCAAACGGCTCTTTAACTTGTCTCCTCGAGAGAAGCTAGGGAAAATCGCGGGCCAATGTTTATTCCCTCGCCCTGCCCCTTACACACCCAGAATAATAAGAGGGGGGAAACCACCGATGCCGTTTTAAATTAGGATCTTGAATAATCATCTTTAATAAGAATATCAAACCTGCCAAAGGCACTACGAGAATGGAAGTTGGCCGGACTCCGGCCTGCAGAGTGATGCTCTTTGGATTTACCCTTCTAAGTCCACTTTTCACCCAGGAAGGAGTCAAAGTTATTGGCAAGAATCTTAGGGTGGATAAGACAGAGTCCCAAACAACGGGGTTCCCGAAAGCAAGGGGTTACGAGGCTAGAAAGAAGGGTGGACAAAGAAATGTCCGAGGGCTCTCTTCGAGGAAAATGCCTTTTCTTTTAAGGGGAAGTTCCTCGAAGCTCACACCCTTCAGACTTCTGAGAAGCAATAAAAGCCACGGGGAAAGGCAAGCATACGGGGAAAGGTAAACAGCCTTTGTCAGCCAATGAAGGAGAGAGACCCTTCTTATGCAGGCGTGTGACTACAACGCTCACAAAAGGACTTAACGTGGATCCCCGCTGTTGAGTCTTTCATCGCATTGTTCATGCTCAAACTCCCTTTGTAAAGATTCTTGGTCTTTGGACGTTCTCGGCTTCACTAGGGTAAAACTCTCCCTAGCCTCGGAGAGGTTCGCGCCAGTGAAGGCTGTAAGAGCAGGCTCATGATTTGTCATCAAAAGAAATACTCCTGTGTGTGTTAAAAAAAACCCACCAACCTCAGTTGTGTTAGTCTGTAACTTTAAGACCAACCAGTAGTCCTAACCAAAATATAAAGAATCACGAACTATCGTGAGCACAGCCCACTTTGTCAGATGAACAGGGACTCTGAACACGATCGGGGGAAGGGAGGAAAAATGAACTCCAGGCTGGCCTCCAAATACTTGAGAGTATTTTAGGTCAAACACCAATCTGTTGGACAGTTGTGGGCAGTTATTCATGGTACGATCGCCAGACAACTAGACCAAGCTTCCCGTTACACAGTTCAGTGCGCTACCCGATGAATGGAGATGAGTCCAGACAAGCGGCACGTTTTCAGAAATCCAGTCTGGCTTGCCCAGCTTTCCTCTGGAAATTCACCAGCCCTACGCCAACCATCAGGCTAGGTTCTCCTCGAGGATGAACCCTTTGCATGATCGTCAAAGGGAGAGCACGCTCTATTAAATAATTTACCCAGTTAATTCAATTAAGCCTAACGCCAAAGTCTGCTGGAGCCATTAGCTTATGGCGATGATAGGAAAACAGAAAGATGCCAATTAACTTTCCTGAAAGGAATTCTTTTAGAGTAATTAACAAGAGATCTGCAGCTTGCCTCGGCCTATTAATGGGGCTTGGGGTGACTTCAGAACAAACTGTCTACATGCCGTGTTCCTGAGTAAAAGCATAGGAGACACAACCAAACGTAACAGATGGAATTGACCAGCGCCTGCATATGTCACGTTGATTTCTTAAACTTTTTCTTCAGACAGGAGCATTTGGTGGTTGTTTGGTTAATTGATCAAAACTCCCCCGCAGGAGAAGTTAGGTTCATAGTTCGGTTTAGTTGCCACTGAGCACGTGTGTGGGGTGGGGGAAGGGAGGAGGAGTTATTCTCTTTGTTAAATCTCAGCGAGGAAACTGTGTTAGTTTGTATCTGCAAAAAAAAGGGGGGGGGGTGAGTACTTGAAAGAATCAGTCCTTGTTTAGGAAACTTGGGTCATACTTAAATAAATTATACATGTGACCCAAAAGGGTCAGTTACATCTTGTTTTGGGTGCAAAAAGTAACGGCAGCCCATGAGCCGAGCCTCCCGTATGGAAGTTTTCAAAATAAATAAATAGAAGGCTGATGGGTTCTGTGGAGAAATAGTTCATTAAAAGCATTGATCTGAGAAATGGATGTACATACATAGATTAATAGGAGAGACAACTCTGTTTAACCTTATAAAAATAGACTCACATCCACGTTTTTCGTATCGCAGTGTTTCCATGCACACCTTAGTTTATCGCGCTTTATGGAAGTTTTCAAAATAAATAAATAGAAGGCTGATGGGTTCTGTGGAGAAATAGTTCATTAAAAGCATTGATCTGAGAAATGGATGTACATACATAGATTAATAGGAGAGACAACTCTGTTTAACCTTATAAAAATAGACTCACATCCACGTTTTTCGTATCGCAGTGTTTCCATGCACACCTTAGTTTATCGCGCTTTTCCTTTTGCTTTGTAACAAGTGCAACTTCTTTAGTATAAATAGTGATGGAGGAGAAACAATAATCAAAACAAACGTAGAGGACAAAAATAACATCCTTAGGCATTAATAATTGTGAGGAAAATATTGATATTGGATGGGTGTCGAGAGAGAGTTTTCTGTCTGGATGATATTAGAGGAGTAGGGGGAGTAGAAGTAGAAGAAGAAGAAGAAAGTTTACATCTATCAGAAGTATCTATTCAAGCTATCATAACTTTTGGTGTATATGACCTATTGCTCATGTATTGACCGTACACACATATATTTCATTTATTGGGAGCAGGTCAATAATTTAAAGGAGAGTTTAGTTTATTTATTTACTCCACGTTGTTTCAGGCTTTGCCTACCAGACTTTTGAGAGGTTCCGCAATATCTAATATGTGGAATCATCCCTGACTATCAAACATGGGGAAAGAAAAGGGATCCTTGATATTTCAATGCATTACGTTAGAATAATCAGTGTCGACATTCCCTCTTATAAGAAACAAAGTAAATAAAACGTCCTTCCTGCCTGTTACCCCCCCTTTTTCATTAAGAAGAGTGAAGGGAGCGGGGGGGGGGGGGGGAGAAGAGAGAATTCTGCCAACATGAACCCGCTAATAAAATGTGGGAGTGCTAGAAAGTGTTTGCTGCTGACCCCTGTGCACGCCTGCATAATCGCACTTTTCCATCTCAGACAATGCATTTCAATTCCAGTCGTGTGCCTTTGTCCATTTGTATAAAGAAAAGAGGGATGAATGACAGGTCCTGTTAGCCTGCATGAACAGATACCAGTAAACCCTCCCCAAAAGCTAGACCTTTAAAAAAAAAGCCACATGCTTATTTGCCTGCGGCTTATTATTAAGACACCTTCGTAGCTAAAACACTTGAAAGCAAACCAAATTAAAGGGCAATTAAAAGCGAGTTACACCCTCTCTTAACTCCAGCCTTGTAATTTGTGGACACTAGCCATCAGCAGACACACATCGTCAGGAAATGCCATTTGGCCAAATACCTTTCTCAGAACATTTGCAACTTTCCAGTATTGTGCTCGATTTAGAACGTTCGTTTATATTTTGATACTTCCCATTCTAAATATGCCTTGCTTCTTCTTCTTCTTCTTCTTCTTCTTCTTCTTCTTCTTCTTCTTCTTCTTCAACAACAGTGTTTCAGCCCCAACCCAGCATGAAAACTCCTACGACTAATGTCACTACAAGTATATAAATAAATTCATTTGTAAAACCTTCCTATGTGCAATACAGTGCTAACCAGCCTCAATTAATTTTCCACGAATAAAATGTAATAGCACTTCTTGAAAAATAAAAAATAAAACTAATTTAAATGGGAAAAGGTCCACCTTTCTCTCACACGGCCCCATTTTCCCCTTATGTATCACATATATATGTATGTATGTAGCATTGTGTGTAATTTAGTGTGTGTGTGTGTTTGTGTGCGTGTGCAATAATGCTTTATAGTCTCAGACTAGCTACTTATTTGAAAAGGTATTTAAAAACACTAAGATTGTTTGGTAACCTGGATGGGGAAAAAAGATTGGGGTGTGGGGTGGACTTAAATTGGAAATAAATGTAAGAAAAAATCAAGCCCAACAACATTGTTTTAATTTAGAAAAAAAATACAGCTAAGGAAACACCCCGAGATTGTGCAATCTTTTCTTTTGGTCAGTATTTAAAAGCAGTAGAACCAACAGGAAGGAGCACACTTACCTATTTAAAATGACGATTTAGTTAGTATAGATTACTATATCTATTAGATCTATAGCCTCTCGATAAAATGTGTTTAAAATGCCCCCTTCGATCAGATTACCTCCCATATAAGCCTGTGTACGAAAAAAAAATTCTAAAGAGTGGAGGAAAAACTGTATAAAAATGTTGAAAGAGCCTACAGTTCCTTATTAGGCGAAGATACAATATTTATTCCTTGTCTCCTGGGATGAAGCTCCTCTATCTATTGTCCTCCCAGTTCTCAGTGCTGATGCTTAATTTTCAAAACTTCTATATTACCAAGGGACCTACGACATCAGCCAAAGAAATACCCAGCAAGTACAAAATCTGATCCAGGGAGCTGCTTTTGTGCAGAGGGAAAATTTTGTTCCTACAGGTTTTTAAGGTGGTGCATGGAAAAGGAAGCGGTCTAATCTATGCAGACACATTGCAAATTCTCTCCTAGATATAGACTTAAAAAATCGGGCGGGGATTCAAGCAGTTTGGATATTTTAATTTTATTTTAATTTTATTTTCTTTTTTGAGAGGGAATTTTATCCTGCGCCTTTTTTTTTCGGAGAACCAAAAAATGTCAACTACATTTCCAGGACTAGTCCACGAAGCAGAGGTCTTTTGTGCGTGCGTGTGTGTGTGTGTGTGTACGCGTGTGTATGGGTGCATGGGTGTGAGCGTGTGTGCCTCTGTGGTTGTTTCCAGTATTTTTTTAAAAAATAATCCATATTGGACCGTTACATTTAATTATAATCTGGCTTCAGACACAATTTAAAGAAGTATAGGGCGAAAATTCGTTATGACATCTGTCACCAGCAAGAGCAACTCATTACTACGTTAAAACAGTTGCCACCACGAAACCAGAATAAGACCCCTAATCATATAATGAAGTTGCGGGGAAAATAATCAACTCGCCAGAAAGGGGAAGATGTGGCCAAGACGGAGCATCGCCTTCTTCTGGGAACATTCGAGGGGGGAAATGCGCCGGAGTCGCTAGAATCCAGGGTCCCAAACACAAGAAGGTGGCGGTTCTGTTGCTAGATATGTAAACGCTAGAGAACACAATGGCGAGATTTTCCCCTTCTGGGGGTGAAAGCCCTTCTGTGTGCTGACTTTTTGTTTCCCTCCCTAATAGCAGAGCTGTGATCAGTGTTAGTTTTGTGCTGGTGGTTTTCCCTTTTTTCCCCCTTGTATTTCAGCGCGGTGGATTCCTTTTGCTCTACTGCAATCAGGCAGGTTTGGGGGGGTCCTTTATTTTTTTAACAGATCTGCATGACACCAAGCGCAAACTACCTCCGTACGGCTTGGAGTTGGGCGCTTTTAATAGGGGGGAAGCGATGCAGCAGAGAGGGCCTGGAAGAGTCGCGCACGGTGTTTTAAATGACAAACCTCCAGTTTTGGGGTCTCCTTTTCCCTTCTTCCTTTCAGATACGTCATGACGGATCAAACAGCTACCGTTTGATGCAGCTTGGATGTCTGGAGTCTGTGGCCAACTCAACTGTCGCCTATTCCTCCTCTTCGCCTCTAACTTACTCCACCACCGGCACTGAGTTTGCTTCCCCGTATTTCTCCACTAATCACCAGTACACCCCACTTCATCACCAATCCTTCCACTACGAGTTCCAACACAGCCACCCGGCCGTCAACCCTGACGCGTACTCCTTGAATTCTCTCCACCACTCGCAGCAATACTACCAGCAGATCCACCATGGGGAACCCACCGATTTTATTAACCTGCACAACGCCCGGGCTCTCAAATCCTCTTGCTTGGACGAGCAGAGGCGAGAGCTGGGGTGCTTAGATGCTTACCGGCGCCACGACTTGTCTCTTATGAGCCATGGATCCCAATATGGGATGCACCCCGATCAAAGACTCCTGCCAGGACCAAGCCTCGGTCTTGCATCCTCGGGAGCAGACGATTTGCAGGTAAATAGCATGCGATATACTTTCGCTGGGGCTTCCTCCCAGCCACTTCAGGATCGCTCCCACCCCGATCACATCTATCGGGAGGGAGTCATAAGGACCATTTCCAGGGTCCAAAAGCAAGCAGCGCTCTTGCCGGACAAATAACTTCACACCTGGTTTAATACTGTCAGTGGCTCCGCTTTAATACGTGAGGTTTGGTACACTAATCAGGAGATCTTTCTGCGTATCCCCTCCAAACCCAAGGCGCTCGAAATGACTACGAAATCATCCACCGCAAACCCTTTTCTCCCTTTTGTAGTAAATGGGTATGTTTCACTATCAGAGGGACACGTAAAAACATCCAAATAGACCGAGGGAGGAGAAAGAAGAACATCCGAAAAAGTATCTCTGCTAGGAGATATTTTTTTAAAAATCTAATGTGGTCCCGTAGATAGTCTGTAGTTTAGCGACGACAGATGAAATGTTAAAGCAAAAAATATACCATACAATAAAATAAATATATGTCAATAAAAGAATGAAGGTCTTGAGATATATAGGTATGGATGCAGATCTATGTATCTACTTTCTGTCTATTCACTGTATCTCTCTACCTACGCAGATAATAACCTAGTTTATAGTCAACTAAATATCCGGTGCTGTCGATTTAGAATTCATTTCCAGCCGTCTCTCTGTCCCAAGTTAAAATATATTTTTAAAACTGTCATTTATAATTATGCGTATTTTAAAGGTAAAATACAAATACTTTCCCTTAAACCAAACTAAGGAGCCATGGTCAGTCCAGAAGTGGCCAGGTTAAGACGGATTTCAGGGTATTTACTGTGCTTATTTTCCCTCATCCATAGGTGTTAGTTTGGAGAACTAAGAAGCGCCCCATTAAAAAGCTTTTTTCCCCCATTTACTTCGGAGCAAGGCATTAGTTAGGGGGAAAAATAGTACCAACCAAAGAATCTTAACTGTTCCATCCGTTTGGAGGAGAAACTCCATAAATCTTGAATGTCTACATTTAAATTCACAAAATAATTGCATATTCGCTGGGCATTTTTTTTTATATTTTCCATAAGGCTCCCCGTATGTCCATCACCCCGCCCCCCCACCAAAATCTGCCATTCACTTCTTAGCCCAACTAAAACCTATTTACTCCTTTTTATAACCGCGTCTGCTGCTGATTTTTTTTGTATCTGTACAATTTTTTTTCTTTTCCGAGCACAAAGCCTTGTATCTTTCAAAAGAGGGGATTAAGAACGTTTGCAAGGCTGTGGACAATGCCTAAGTCCTGTGCAAAAGAGCACCATAGTTTATCCAATTTTCGACTTAGTGCCATTCAACTGGCCATGTATACAGTGTCATCCGACCAAACAACATGGTTCCCTTACGAATAGTAATAATAATAATACAGGATTGATAAAATTCGATTAATCTGGCAGATCCAGATTCATTTTGATTAGAAATTAAAAATAATCAGCTTTCAAAAAACGGGGGAAGGGGTGTTCATTATTTGATCAAAACTCATTTTAAAAACACCCTCGCCCCCCTTGCCTCTTGGCACCCTCCCTTTCACTTATTTTTCACCCCCTTTTTTTTCTGGAGAGAAAAGGATACTCTATTGAGGCATAGAATTTGTATATGTGTAGTAGCTTCAAAACACACTTTCAGGCTTGTTAATTTCACGTGGCGTTTAGTGCGAGGTGTTTTGGTGGCAGGCTGAAATAGAACGGGCAGGAGTCCTACAAACCAAAATTGTGGCCTCCATAGTTTCCCCTTCCCCTCCGTCTTTCTTTTTGAAACGTTCATCAGCATATGCCTCATTTCCAATGCAACAAATGTAAATATACTTCCCCCGCACAGAATGTTAAGTGAAAGTCCAATAGTTTAGAGGGCGGTTTAAGTCAGCCTAACAGATGCAAACAGTCTTGAGGCTGGAGTGGCATCTTTCAGTCCCCTAAAAAGATTTTCCATGGACAACAAAGGAAACTGTCACACCTTTTCCCGTCACCGCTTTAATTTATGCTCAGTCGCCACGTTTTTTTCATATTGATTTCATAATCACTTTAAAGCAGAACACTTAAAATAAGAAAGAGCCTTGAAAAGCAGGGTCTTACAGGCCAGCGCCAATATGGTGAAACTGGGGGAGAGAGCCAGGACTGTAAAGGTTGTTTTGTAAAGTGAGGTTTTTATTATGCACCGGCTCTCCCTCCGCATTTACTTAACTGTTCACGGGCTGTTGAGTAGGTTAACACCCTTAAAGGACTCTTTCATGTCAAATATCTCGTGTGTTTGTAAAAGAAAATGCGTCTTTGCCACATTTCCATTGGGCCAAAAGGTATATTTCCCCCCACTATTAAAAAAATAACCAAAAAAAAAACCGATTCCATCATTTCCATCGTTCCTACTAAAAATATGTAGAAAAGCGGAATTGAATATAAAATAAAAGAGTAATAGAGCAAGTATAAGCAAGAATCATGCAGACATACAAAACTCTTCATAGATATACCAGCACACTCACACACACACATTTTCTTGGACGCTGTGAGTGAGTGGCCATGTTATATATACACGGTGTGTGTATGTGTTTGCACACACAGTGTACGTTTCTGTATACATAGATAGCTGCACTGTTGCTCAGAATTTTTTGTTAAGATAAATAGATATTTGGGGGGAATTTTGTGTATTCACTATGCACACTTACAAACAGGCTATATGAGTATTTACAGAGAGACAGTATGGACTTTTCATATCTATCTATCTATCTATCTATCTATCTATCTATCTATCTATCTATCTATCTATCTATCTATCTATCTATCTATCTATCTATCTATCTATCCAACAATTATGTCTAAATAGCAATCAACCTTGAGACTTATTCTATAATAAATACCTTTCCTAGGATAGTGGAAGATTAAGGGATTATCCTGATACTGTATAGACTTTGTCAGGCAATTTGACTCCCATTTTAGAAGTGTGTTGCCTTTGCTGTTGTTGTTGGCCGAGCTCCGTGTTAAAACAAACGCTGCTTTATTTAAAGAGTTTTGATGTCTGTTTGTGTCTGATTTTGCTTATTTTTCGTAATTTAAGGGGTCGGTGGAGGCCCAATGTGGGCTAGTACTGAACAGCCAAGGTGGGGTGATAAGGAGAGGTAAGCAGGTTAACATATTTTCCTATATTTTACTCGTTTTAAAAAAGTAACCCCATGTCTTTCTCTCTCTCCGTTGTGCAGAATATTACAGGTATATTGAAAAAAAAAAGATGATAACTATGTAAAGAGAAGCACATTAAAACTAATGGACTGTCTTAATGTGCATCAGACAGTCAAACATCTCTATTCATAGCAGCTATCCGAAATTAAAGGTGAATCGAGGTTTCTGTTTGTTTGTTTCACCCCCATCGCCCACCAAATAGCTGTCTCGCTTTAATTTAGAAATGTGTGGACTTTCTAGTGCTTGGCTGTTATATTCTGCAGTCTGATCTCTTATGGGGAGCGGGAGAGTTTGGGAAGAATCAGTGTACTAAATAACTCGGTGTTCCAGACAGGTTGAAAAATTTGTGATTGCCAAAATAGTTAATTGCCTGGATAAAGACGTCCTCTATGCCATCTGCTACTGAAAATACCCTGAATCCAAGTTAGCCGGAAGATTCTGTTCTCTTTAAGGAATATCTTGTTTAGGACTATTTGTGAAAAGTATGTGTTTTGAATAAGAGAAGCAAAGGTAGGCTGTTTTGTCTTGAGGCCCATATATTCAACGCCAATACAGCTACAAGCTGTATCCCAAAATAATGCTTATCATAAATATATGCATTCCGAATGAAACGAATATAAGGGATTTGTCAAAGACCCTGTCTCTTGGAAAATATTATTCTTTCCCTTAATTAATCTGCTTCTTGGGGGTTTTTTAAGTCCATTGCTCTTCATCACACTATTAGGTGAAGTGTTACTTAAATCGAATAAACCCGATTTTATCATTCAGATACCGGGACATGCCATATATTTAAATAAAAACAAAATGCATCCAGGATCGAATTGCTACTGAAATTGCATTTAACAAGACAATTTCTAGAATTACACGTGGGGTCCTACACAGGGCGTGAACCGTTCCGATTTCCTTTTCCGCCAGATTTTAAAATCTTATGCACGGAATGAAATTCCCATTTCAGTGGCCAGGAACAAGCGAAATCTTGACCGAGTGGTTGTGGGAGGGAACGATTAGCTCAAAATAAAAGCCGAGGGGGAAGCGGGCTAAAAACTGAATCCGTTTATATTTTAAGATCGATTTGCTTTAAAACATTGTAGCAATAATATAAAGTTTAGCAATGAAACCCAGCACCATAAACACGCCTGGGTCTGTTAGTATTAACGTGGCAGCTGAAAGAACAAACAAATTAACTAAAAAGCAAGTGAGAGGGTAATATTCAAGGCTCTCTGGACTGTAGATGACGGGTAGGGCGGTCATTAACAAGGATGGTGCTGAAAGAACAGCTCCACTAATGGCAGTCGTCCTCCTCTTCCTTCGCTAGCATCTGGGGTTGTTACTGGGGGCTGTTCTATAACATGTCGTATATTTTCCGCCGTTTAAATTATATCCCCCGCTAGGTAAAGTTGCGTTTACTTCTTATTTCGCAAAACTATGAACCAGAGCAGCAAAACTCCAAACCAGTCGGAAACAGGCAGGGAAATTGAGGGGACCATTCCTCTGAAAGGAGTGGAGAAGGATGGTGGGTTGAAACTTTAAGGAGTTGCGGAGAATGTTTGTCCGTGATTAGACACATGGAGGTGGGATGTTGGCAATTCCTACCCATGCGGTCTCTCCATTACAAGGGCATACACGCGCCTGTTTTCCCTTAGTTCTTTCTCCTCTGAATTCAGTTCATATTAATTCTGACTCAGGAAGTGTTTTCGCTTCTGAACCAAAATCGGATCTCTTGGAAGCTGACTCGTTAGCAAAGAGAATAACTATAGTCCCATAGACCGGGGGTTCTGTCCGTATTATTTGTCCGGAAAGAGGATCCGAATATCCGTTCTGCTTACCTCCGGTTTAGTAAATTTCCGCCTCTCGGTTAAGGAGCTAACCAGTTACCTGTGTGGCTGATTATAGTCACGATTTTCTCTTTTTTAAAAGCGATCAAGTTGCTCAAGAGTTTAAAGATCGCTAGTAAAGGAAATCCAGCATGGAAATGTAAAGTTTTCCCTCCACTGAACTAATGCTGAACTGTAGCTACACACAAGTTACCTCTTGGCGATAGGTATCAAAGATTAGTCTATAAGTTTCAAATATATAACAAAATATATGATAAATATGTTGTCCGACTTCGGAAAAAGCGATAGGAATTAGTAATACTAAAAATATCCCATGCTAAGCGCTGTACAGCATCCCATCTTCTCCATCGATATATCTATAGGAAAATATCAATTCTGGAATTCCCTAATATTTTAAATGTCTCATGTCAATTTTTTTTCTCGTTAATACATATATATCATATATCGTTTAAAAACAAGTTTGGCTGATCTTTTTGGAAAAAGAAAGAAAGAAAGAAAGAAAGAAAGAAAGAAAGAAAGAAAGAAAGAAAGAAAGAAAGAAAGAAAGAAAGAAAGAAAGAAAGAAAGAAAGAAAGAAAGAAAGAAAGAAAGAAAGAAAGAAAGAAAGAAAGAAAGAAAGAAAGAAAGAAAGAAAGAAAGAAAGAAAGAAAGAAAGAAAGAAAGAAAGAAAGAAAGAAAGAAAGAAAGAAAGAAAGAAAGAAAGAAAGAAAGAAAGAAAGAAAGAAAGAAAGAAAGAAAGAAAGAAAGAAAGAAAGAAAGAAAGAAAGAAAGAAAGAAAGAAAGAAAGAAAGAAAGAAAGAAAGAAAGAAAGAAAGAAAGAAAGAAAGAAAGAAAGAAAGAAAGAAAGAAAGAAAGAAAGAAAGAAAGAAAGAAAGAAAGAAAGAAAGAAAGAAAGAAAGAAAGAAAGAAAGAAAGAAAGAAAGAAAGAAAGAAAGAAAGAAAGAAAGAAAGAAAGAAAGAAAGAAAGAAAGAAAGAAAGAAAGAAAGAAAGAAAGAAAGAAAGAAAGAAAGAAAGAAAGAAAGAAAGAAAGAAAGAAAGAAAGAAAGAAAGAAAGAAGTTGATTGATTGATTGATTTTAGGACATAATTCCTCATGTAATTTCCCCTTGAAAAATGTCATTCTATTGTTCTGGAGAGAAGGGGGATCGAAAGGCAATGCGGTTTTCTTTATCAACCTGAACAATAATTATAATAAATACAAATACATTAAAATCCTTCTCCGAACGCAGGTCTGACATTGTAGGTCCTGGCTGTCTGGGACATTGTTTAGTGCCATGATTTTGTGTTTTTCTTTAATGAGCCACGGAAAGCAAAAGACTTTTGCAGGCGAGATAATTACTCGGTAGATAAAATATTTGCCACCAATTCTGATGCAGAGATCCCCATGCTATCACTTTCATTTAATGGTGTGCAGGGTATAGCCCGGAGCTCCACTACTCTAACCATCAGAACCAATAATCTTTACTTTACCTACTGCTCGTGTATCGATAGCTTCTCTAGCCTCGGGCGGCTGCTTTGATATGTTAATATTTCTGAGTACCAAATTCTGCAGAGATCATATTAATGTTGTACATACAGAGCGGGAGCTTTGCCTTAAAGTTGAATATTCACATCGTCTCTTTCAAAAGAAATCACTCGAAGAAATGAAGCTTCTGTTTACAGGGGGCGTCTGTGGGTTTTTTTTTGAATCATTAAAACCAAACCAAACAACAACAAAACCCGGACCCACGTCCTCCCCTCTCACACTTGCCCTAGTGAATGTCTCAGGCTTTCATTATTATCGACTCCTCTTTTGCATTCCTCGCTAGGTTGCCATTTTACAGCAGAAGAGCCTGCTTCGCGTTTGATTTGTGGGGGGCTTGTTTGCTAGTCGCCCCACTTCCCAGCCCCCCCTGCGTCTGAAGCACACACCGCTTGGGTGCGCCCCGCTCCAAACTATTTGGATTAAAAAGCCAACACGGTGACATTTGGCCCCCGCCGTTTTATGGAATCGAGATGGCAAACTCCAAAAAAAGCTCGTGTTTCGCTTTGTGATCATCCATCGTTCCTGCCCCAGGCTAATTTCAAGCAGCTTAAATACTGCTATCGCCTCTGGGCCATGACGAGAGAGGGGCCAGGCTATCGGCAGTAGCTCCTTTTCGATTGCCCTTGGCAACATAAAATACAAACTACTTTGAATCAAAACATTTTTGGGGAATTAATATGATCTGAACTCTGCACGTTTTAAGAGATCTGGAGTTTGTCAAATCGCTTAGAGGTGACTGACGTGCGAACGCGGAGGCATTAATGCCTAGCTAGGAACACTGTCAGATCTTATTTGATTAAAAAAAATCTTAAAAGCTCCAACATCAGTCACCCAAAAAGTCTGCCAATAAAATCGTGGGAAAGACGCTTCCCCCTTCTCTCTTCTGCCTTTTATGTGTTTACTTATGGCGCTGCCTCCGATTTGAAAGGGATTCGAGGTGGCTTGATCATTTTCTCTGATCTTCGATTTTAAGTGGAGACGAAGCTGCAGTCTAATAACGCCTCCCTCATTAAGGGTGAGAGTTTAAGCAAGGGACTCTGGGAATGTTCACACAAAACAAACAGCAAAATAAAGTCCTCTCTCTCCAGTACATTCTGCCTTGTGTGATACATGGGAGGAAAGATAAACTGGATCTTGGTGGAAAGGGTGTTTTCCATACATCCGATCTACAAACTATACGTTGTTCCTGAAAACGGAGAAGACACAGGGAGAGTAATATCTTGTATTGCTTTTATTTCATTTGAATTGTAAACCCCTGTGTAGCAGAATAGTTGACAGGGAATTTATTGTGCTTGCTTGCTTCTGTGACATGAGAGATCATTTTAGTGTCTGTCTCTCCCCAAGATAGGCTATGCTAGTGCTATATTTCTCCACTGCTTTCTTGAGAAGTGCTGTTCTGTATCCAAAATGAAATATAGACGTTAAGAACCCGAAAGAGCAGAATTCAGTCTTAACTAACAAAGGATAAAGTATCCTTCCACAATTATATTGTGAAATTTGGGGCCAAAATAAAGCTTATTTTCTCGAAATACTTAAGGGCAAAGGATAAGAAATGGATCTATACGGGTACCCTGTACTG